TTTGAGCCACAGAGGCATCCGTCTAGGTGCACACCATCTCTTTCTGAGTATGCAGCAAGGAACCAACCATGCAGCACAGACGCACCTCCTTCCTTCCAGCCGGCTTCTGAGTGTCTCACACTCTGACTTACCTCATGACTGCCACACAAGGCAGAAAGTCAGGAGGCAGGCAAGCTCTCTGCTGCCGGCCTGCCACATCCTGTCTGACAAAGGTCAGCGCCCCCCTCTTTCAGGCCACTGCTGTAGATTGTGCTGACCTCATTATTTCACTTTTCATTTAGGCTGTCTACTCCATGCCCACTGCTCCCAAATCCTTCATCGCTGCATGAGAAGTCTTGCTGCAAGGTTGTAATGGGGTCCTGCCAGTGTTTGGAAACTTTCCACTGCCCCGTGGGTGAAGAGTCACGCCACAACCCAGCTCTCCCTCAGTTCTGTGTTCCCACTGACCTGCCTTTCTCCTGCTGCTTCACCCTTTGCTGGGGCTAAAACCTTGGTCAGAGGCCTCTGTCATGGGCCCCTCCTTAGAGTCCTTACACCCCCCACATGCAGGTGGCAGGTTCCCCCCGCAGCCCTCACCCCACTTTGTCACTTTGTCATTGTCTGCAATGCTTGCAGGTGTCTTCCTGTCTCTGACCTCTTTGGAGATACAGTCTCTTAGAGCAGAGTCTTTTTCTCATTTGATTTTGTATACCCAAGGCCTGACCCAGTGGCGGCAAGCAAGGCACAGACCCTCATCCATGAAGTCCTAAATGGATGTGAATGCAAGCAGATTATCAGAGGAAGGGGACATCAATGTAAATGAGGCTTTGCACAGAATACTTATTATGATTATTATGTCCGAGTGCCCTCTGGGGGAAGGCAGATTAGGGGGCACGGAGAAAGCCAGGGGATCCTTGAGTTCTGCACTGGTGGATTGTACCAGTCACAGAGGGCTGAGATGTTCAGGGGAGACAACTGTGTATCTTCTGAACATGCACAGGCTTTTTGCTCATCACTGTTCCCTGAACAATACAGAGTATGTACATAACGTCGGCATCAAATTGACACTATACATAACTAGAAATGACTTAAAGTCCATGGGAGGATGGGTGTAGAGTTCTACACAAACATATAGAGTTCTACGCAAACACTACACCTCCTTCTATAAAGGACGGGGCATCTGTGGGGTGCTTTATCAGAGATTTTTAACATCATCTTGAGGGGCATCTGCATTTGAAAATTATCCTCTGAGAGGATGAGAAGAGTGTCCTTAGTGGCTCACAGTCGTGGGTAGTGGGCCTGACTTGTCCATGACCTGCCACCTGGACAGATGGAGGGGCTGGCATGAAGCACCCACGTTGGGACAGAAAGGGGAGTCCAGTGGTGAGCTACCAACTCAGAGAACTCAGGAGTCTGGGTGTGAGACAGAGGCAACTGTGCAAACAAGGATGGCTTCTGTTAGGTGCTCTGCTACAGACAGGCAGGCAACTTCCAAACAGGGGTGGGGGAAACCCAGCAGACCAACATCTGGAAGGAAAGACAAAGCTGCTTGCTTCTCCTCTTGACCCTGTAGTAATCCTTAATGATGCTCAGTGGTTGCTGGGAGAGGTATTTCCCATTCTGCACCTTCCTGGTCCTTTCTACCTCCAGGGACGTCCCCAGCCCCATAGGCTCTCTGTGATGCTCTCTCTCTTCAAATACCTCAGACCTCTTTACAGCCCTTCTCACTGGTAGTCACGCGGGTATTCGTTTAAAATCTGTTTCCAGGGATGACATTATAGCACACTGATGGAATATTTGCCTACAACGTGGAGTTCAGTCCACAGCAACACACACAGACACCCCTCCAGTGCTCCCACACATGCGCACCAAGCTTTAAGATCTGCTCCCACTGTGAGCAGACAAGCAATTTAGGGGCAAGGCTATTCTTCATGGTACACATTTGAAGCTCAATAAATATGTGCTGAATTGAACAGAAAAACAATGACTACAACAACTACCTAACGAGAGAGTAAAGCTGACCTGCATCCAGAATACAAGACCAAGGAGTCAGGATTACTCAGTAAAAGAGAAAAAGTGGGAGGGTCCAGTCCTACTGGACCCACCAGATGATAACCTAGCAAGTCAGTCCACTCTATTTATTTATTTACTTTTTTGGGTTTTACGAGACAGGGTTTCTCTGTATTGTTTTGGAGGCTGTCAGTCCAGCCTGGCCTCGAACTCACAGAGATCCGTCTGCCTCTGCCTCCCGAGTGATGGGATTAAAGGCGTGCGCCACCACTGCCCAGCCAGTCCGCTCTATTCATTACCCATAAGACTGGTGAACTTGTGAACCAATGTCATCTTCTCAGTTTCAAATGTTCAAAAATAAAAACAATGCGATTTCATAACACATATAAATTATCTGCAACTCATATTCCAGTGTTCAAACATAAAGTCCCTCGCCCTTTTTGCCATACATAACGTTTTATTAGAATGTAGCCGCACTCACTAGCTTAGATGCTACAGTGATAATGTTAAGTAGCTGTGACAGAGACCAAGACACCCCCAAATATAACTATTTAGTGCCTGGTCTGCTAGAGAACCAGCTTGTCAACCCTAGGAACATGTTGTACCCCACAACTCAAAGGAAGCTCCGTCCTACTGGTGTTTGAAAAGTTAGAATTCTAGAGAAAGCTGCCAGACACTGTCTGTTGATACAGAATGCGGATGCATTTCCATTCCTAAGTAGAGTAGTACTTAAATTCATGGAGGTACATTCCTAATACACAGTGATTAAAAGGAATGAGTTAGATTGAAATATTCAGAGTGTAGAACAATGTCTATAATAAATTGTTGTCATGATTTAAAGGACAGAAAGGATAACATTTGTAACTTATTTTAAAAACACCAGCATGCCTATGCTTAGAGGATAGAGAATATAAATGCCTCAAAGGATGTATGTGATAAATAGCTCTGGGAAATTCAACTGAGGATTTTAATGTTGATTTGAATTCCATTTTTATTCATTGGCTTTTTAACCCTGAGAATATACCATTCTTTAACTGAGGAATGAGAGGGAGAGAGACAGAGATAGAGACAGAAAGAAAGACAGTCACACACACATACAGAGAGAGAGAGAGAGAGAGAGAGACAGACAGACAGACAGACAGACAATACACATATATGTAGAGAAGAAAGAAAGAGGGAGAGAGAGGGACACACACACACACACACACACAGAGAAAGAAAGAAAGAAAAAGAGGGAGAAAGAAACAGACAGAGACACAGACACACATACACATACAGAGAGAAGGAGAGAGAGGGAGAGAGAGAAATAAAGAGGGGGGAGAGAGAGAAAGAGAGAGAGAGAGACTAGAAAATCACTTTCTTTATTCCCCTTTGCAACAGACTGGCTAATTTGAGACAAGAACAAATCCACCCCAATTCTTGCTCTTGAGCTCATCCAGTCCAAGCTCTGCACTGCACAGATGGAGATCTGTGTTCAGACACCCACTCCCCTTGGGGGAAGTGCACTGAAGCAGCCGCTCCCCAGGGGAAGCACATTCAAACAGCCACATGCACCCCTGAAACATCTAGGCTCCCTAAGCAGGGCAAAGCTGCTGGGGTGTTTGTTTTGAGGAAGTGTGAGATTAGAACATTTGAAAACAGCCCCACTTCTCTTTTCCTAGAAACCCTGGTCACTGCTCTTCAAGGGGAACACCCTGCTGAGCCTGCAGTTCAGGGTGCTTATGTTATACACAAGCCAGACACCCCAAGTAGCAACTGTCAGCTTCTCTGTGTTTCCTCTAGATGGCTGCTGGCTGTCCTCTCACCGGGACACCTCCTCTTAGTGCAGGTTCAAAATTGTAAATCACATTAACAGATGGGCACAGAAGACAGAAGTGAGGCCAGTACTGGAACCAACGGGTAGATGTTCACCATTGATGCTCTGCCTTGGTACACATGTCTACAATGCCCGCCAAGTCTAATTTTCCCTGTGTTGCTTCTCTTGGTTTTCTGGAGGCAGAGGCCTTGGGGATATAGGGAGGCCAGGACTTGTCAGCTGCTTTGCCTTACACTTCTGCCCTCAATCTGAACAGTGTCCTGCTTAACTTGTACCAAGACTGGCCTACTGCACAGCATTGTAGAACCATCTCCATGTTTGGGATGCTGGAATCGTTAGGGAGGTCCAGGAAAATTTAACTCTTTGCAGCATGAAGCTCCAGTCTTGCTCAGCTGGGAGACATGTGGGGAGTGGCTGGATGGGTAGATACAGGCTTCTAATCCTCACACCTGGGAGGCTGTCACAGGACAACTAGCATACGTTCAACCAGTCTGGTCTACATGGTGAATTCCAGGCCAGCCTGGCCTACCAAATGAGACTATTTCAAAGGAATAAGGAGAGAAGAGAAGAGAGAAGGGGAGGGGAAAAGAAAGGAAGGAGTACAGGAAAGACAGGGGGTGAGGGGCAGGGACCCAGTGCTGAGGGAGAGGATGAATGATCCACACATATCCCCACCATTTCCAAAAGGACAATCCACAAAACAGCAGCCAGTGAGATACATCAGTTGAGAAGAGGGTGTTAAAGTAAAATCAGGGAGAGTATTTGCAGTTTCCGGATATTCAGTACCATTAGAACAGCCCCTAGACAATATAGATTACCTTGACCTGTTGAACTAGCCTCTGAGGTCATTTGTGAACAGTGCAGACCTTGATCCTAAGGTTGAGTTCAATGAAGGTGGATGTGAGGTGTCAGGGATACTGGGAATCTGAGAGTACAGCTGTCCCCTGAAGTTGCTCACAGAATGCAAACTGAGGTGCCAACAGCCAGCACTGTAATGTGCAGGACTCTACTGTAGCACCCTGGCATGTGGTAACCAATTCTAGAGCAAGAGGGTTAAATGCCAGGCTACCTTTCCTTGAGTCAGATTTAGCAAGCAAAAACCCCCAAACCAGAGGGTTGGAGAGAGATAGAGAAAAGCACCCCAGGAAGACACAGACATGGGGGGTAGAAAAGGCTCATCCTGAGCAGGACTCACCATTGGTAGTCGTGTTGACATAGTAACGGCGGCCCTGAGGAGACAAGTAGCTGTGCCAGCCAGGTGGAAGGATGACCGTCTGGCTCTCTTCTCCCGGTGGAGGGGGAACCATCCCAGGCTTCTGTTGGAAAGGAAGGAAGGGGTCAGACACACTTGCCATTTTCACAACTGTTTTGAACCACAAAATCACTTTGGAATCCTCCACTGGGATGGCCTGGCCTGCGGGCCACTCTTGGGGCAGGTGGCATGAAGTGTGAGGTGCCTCTCACAGAAGGCACAGCCCCACCCAGGGCAGACAGAAGAGCTGACCTTCTTCCCTATCAGACCCTGCAAAAATCAATCACGGGGAGCTGTCACTCCACATGCCCTGCTGTGGGCTGTGCAGTCTACACTCCACAGGACCACTGAGTATAGAGGCAGACGCAGCCCCAGGCCTGCTGTGCAAACCTAGCAGAAGTAATTAATGCAAGTCGCGGCAGAAGGAGGTGTAAAACATTCTATAAAAGCGTTGAGAGTCTGTGAGAGCTGGGTCGAGTTTCTCTCTCCAAGCGGCATGTCACTGTGGCAAAGGGAACCAAGATTTTTAAGACAAACCAGACACCATAGGCTTGATTCTTGCGACCACACACAGTAACATTCATCTTAAGAAACAGAAGAATATGTAAGTCCCAGCATTAGGCGGGAGGCGGGCACATGCTGTAACTGCATTTGTGATCTCTTGGTGGTGGGCTTACTGGCAATTTTTATCTTTTTTTCTCATACTTATCTTTTCCATGTAAATCTCCAACAAACATAAAACTGAAGGTTCTCAGCGAAAGAACATTTAAAAATAAAGACAGAGGATCCAAATTAGCCCACACAATTGCTGTGCCTTTTGGAGAAGGTAAATTGACAAAAATCAGAATTGCAGCTATAGAAGGCTGAGAATTTCTCAGCGAAACCTGTTTAAAAATGCAAAAGGCCACCTCAGTGCCCTTGGCGTCCCCTGCCATGCCCACAGGAGTGGCCACTTTGGTCATCAATGACCACTATTTAGGAAAACAGGATAATGACCAAAACTGGAGCCACGAAGTATGCTCTGAGACCTTTCTCCAGTCAGCCCTGAGAAAGCGTTGTCTCAGCTTCCTGTGGTGGCCTTTGTACCATACGAGGAATGAGCAAATCCCAAGAGCTGCTGGGAGAAAACATGGCCTCCCTCAGTCGTCGGCTTAGCCCTGGTGCATGCCATGAATTCTCATACTCTGTGCTCACATGTTTATGTCCCCTGCACCATCGCCTGCTGGGCCACAGCACCTCTTTGACTTTGCATGAAGGGCTGCACTCTAGACAGGTGATGGCGAGGTACACAGCAGCCAGGCTGAAAGTAGTGTGGTGTCCTCTTCGACACCAGCACGGACCATACGCCAAACACAAATGAACCCGGGAGACAGAGAGACTGGCCCCGAACGCCAAACACTCTAGCATCTCCTGGCCTGGATGATGGCCAGAACACAGGCCATAAAATCGTATGACGATGAACAAAGAGTGAGTGAGAAGGAGGTGTGATGGGGCTGGCTGGCCCTTGATTCCAGCACAGGGATGAACTGGGAGAATCGTGAGTCTGAGGCCAGTCTAGCCTACATAGCCAGACCCTGTCTCCAAAAAACCAAGAGTTAGTGAATGAGAAGAGGGAGAAAAAGAGAAAGCAAGGGAGGCATGGAGGAGGGAAGAGGACAGAGAGAGAGAATCCTGGGTACACAGGGCCTTGGGAATAAAGTGGTGGCGGGATGGGGAATGGAGGGAGGGTGCTGGAGATGGTGTTTTACTGGAGAGTCTAATAGAACCAGATGGATGAGATGGCTGGTTATCTTTTCCTGATCCTAACATCAAGGAGTACCCTACTGTGGGTCCATGGGAAGCTGTTGAAGTGAGTTAAGCAAGGCGCTGAAGCTCACAGGGAGGCATTGCACAGGGAGGATCCAGGGCCACAGTGTAAACAACCTCAGGCTCAGAGCAGCTGGTGCCAAGCCTGCCTCAGCCACACAGCCACCACTGGACCTCAGGCAAGTGACTCAGTCAGGCTATTTCCACATCAGTGAAACAAAAGAGGCTAACACTGGCCCAGGTGTGAAACATGCTGTGGGCTGTGGGGATCCACGGTAACACACCCAGCACCGGAGAGAGGGACCACCACCAGGGTTGCTCAAGAGATGGGGGAATCTAACTGGAAGGGGGATGGAGATGAGCTCTCCCAGGCTCCACCTCTGAGCCATGAAGTCCAGGCAGACATACTGACCTCCCCTCCAACTGCCCCTTCACCATGTCTGAGATGTCACCCCCCAATGGTTGTTCGCTGAGATTTCTGCTGCCAAGAAAGGGAGGTTAATACCCTCTGGAGTTGACTAATGTTGGAAAGCTGGTCAGGGAGGAGTTCTGTGGGCCAGAGAGTAAATGAGCTGTGTCATCTGATGCCCCAGGGCCCCAGCTTTGAAAAAACAGTAAGAAGCCTGACCTCCAGTCTCCTAGTACCTCTCTCTTTAGAATGACTCTGGTTAATCTACCTGTATAACCCAGCGAGCTCAAGGGAAGCCTCTGTTTACACATAAGGATATGGGTGACCATGAGGGTACAGTGTCCTGAGATCTTGCCTATCTAGGGAGTACAGGGACCGTTGGGAAGACACCATAGGACTGAGCCAGGGAGGGCAAAAAGGGGGTGGGAGAGTGCCCACTGACTGGGCCTCGTTCTTTATTTGGCCGATGTGCTATGCTGAGGGTGGTCTCCACATCTGTGAAACACAGCCATTGTCACCCTCCGTGCTGGCCATCTGACTGCCTCGACTTCATTTCTGGGGCCAGATGCAGCCCTCTTGCTGTTTTCTTTCTTAGGAAGAAGTCCTTCTGGCCGGCTCACCACCCACAAGTCAGGAGTCAAAAGACGCTGGAGACAGCTAGGGGAAGCTCTCCCCCACAAGACTGAAAACAAGCACCCCAACAAGCTGTACGTGAACATTCAGGGCAGAGGTATTCACAGAGGCCAAACACGGAGACCAAACAAAGAACCATCCTTGAGGATATGGCTAAAATGTGGGATAGCCACACAGTGGAATATTACTCAGAAATTAAAAGGAACAGAGTCCTGGTTCTCACTACATCGTGGCTGGGCCTTAAAAACATCGTGAAAGAAGTCAGATCACCAAAGTAACACATGGTCTCATTCCATCATGTGACATGTCCAGAGCAGGCAATGCTGCAGAATACTCTAGTAGTTGCAGAGGACCATGGGCAGGGAGATAAGATGAATTCAGGATGTCTCTCTCTCTCTCTCTCTCTCTCTCTCTCTCTCTCTCTCTCTCTCTCTCTCTCTCTCTCTGTGTGTGTGTGTGTGTGAAAATGGTCTAAACTAGGAAGATGCCATGGTTACATAATATACTGCTATGCACGAGCATAATATACTGCATACATACATACATACAGCAGGGCTGAAGAGATGGTTAAGAAGTTAATGGCACTTTCTGCTCTTGCAGAGGACCCAGGTTTGGTTCCCAGAACCTACAAGATGGCTCACAAAACAAACAAATGAACACCTGTAACTCCAGTTCCAGGGGATCTGATGTACTATTCTGGGCTTCATAGGTATTGCACAAGTGTGATGTACAGACATACATGCAGGCAAACACTCATATGCACAGCATAAAAATGAAACTTTAAAAAATATTTTAACATCATCACCTGCCAGTACTCACTGAGGAGTCCCAAATCATCAATGCTCCTCACTCTTATGGCCTCAGAGGGGCAAGAACAGGTAGCCTTCTGGGAGAGATGTCCACAACCACAAACAGGGTAGTGTATGGATGACCACCTAGTAATTAGGGACTCCCTTGAATCTCTTCTCTAATTAGTTCTCTCCCTAGTTAAATCCTTCTGCCCATGCTGGTTAATTTTATGTCACTTGATATAAGCTAGGACTATTTGGGAGAAGGAAACTCAACGGAGAGCATGCCCCCACTAGATTGGCCTGTGGGAAAACTTGTGGTGCATTTTTTTTTATTTATGACTGATGTGATAGGGCCCAGCTCCCTGTGGCTTACACTATCCTGGTTTCAACAAAGAAGCAGGTTGAATAAGCCATGAGGAGCAAGCCAGTAAGCAGCTCTCCTCCATGGTCTCTGCTTCAGTTCCTGCCTCCAGGTTTCTGCCCTGACTTTTCCTTCATGAAGGAGTGTGACCTGAGAGTTGTACACTGAAATAAACCCTTTTTCCCCCAAGTTAATTTGGCCTTGGTGTTTCATCACAGCAATCGAAACCTGACTAGGACACCTTCCTTCCCTGGCCCCGTGGCTCCTCTCCTCAGCTCTCTTGACTCTTTCCAATGGAAGGGGGAAGGAAGGGCAGCGAGGTACCACAGTAGAGCAACAACGCCTAGAACTGACAAGACCAGAGGGAGCAGAGCAGGTTGGAGGTGAGAAGATTCCTTCTAGGTGAGGCATTCCCAGTATAGCACACAGGATGCCCCTGGAGGAATTATGGCCCCTGCCTCTGTCTCTGGAAAGAGCCATCCCCAGGCCAGAATGCAAGACTGGGTTTCAGTCCTTCCCACTCTTCTCTCATCTGTCCAAGAAACAACATGTTTAACTCTACACAAAAGTTCATGCTCTGAGGATATGAGGGAAGGGGTCAGCCTTCTGTCCCTCCTCCGAATTGGTGCGAAGATCATTTGTGGTGTCACACCAGGCAACAGTTTATTATTTTTTTGAATTTTTCTGTGTAACATTATTACACTGCCTGACTCTACACAGCACATTTGTTTATACATTAGTCCTCTGGTGGACACTTGCATTGTTTTCACTTTTGAGCCATTATAAATAATGGTGCTAGAAACACTTGTACCTTACCCTACCTCATAGGTACCATCAAGAAGTTTGTATACCACTTCAAAAATCCTAGTCTAAGTTAGATGCCCACTCAACTGTAATCCCGGCCCTTGGGAATCTGAGGTAGGAGTATCACCTGGTCAAGGCACAGTGAGACTCTGTATCACCAAAGGCTGGGAATGTAGCTCAGTGGTAGGGTGCTTGGTTAGTGTGTACATGGACCTGAGTCCAATCTCTACCATAGCAACAAGACAAAAAGAAAAAAATAA